GCATGAGTTTTGATCTGGGTAATTATGATCTCGGATTTCGAACCCTGCATTATCTATGATTTGATAAATGCAAACACTGGTTTGGGGAGATGCCCCGATTGCTAATAATTGATTTCGGAACATTGTTTAAACCCTGTGAGGGTGGTTTCGATTTGACTCCAGATAATTGATGATGTTTAAATTACTTGCGAGTAATTGATATGTGAAAATTCGTAAATGTTAATTATATATTGAGTAACGCCAAACGATTTATGAAAAGAATTTCAAAAAAAAAAAAATTCCGTGGACTTTTGAAAAGTCCTTGACTTTCGTCAAATAAAAGTGAGGCGTTACAGTCTTTCTTCATTCTCTTCCACCAGAATGATCTTTTCAGGTCGTGATACATCTTAGTGCTGCCGGGGTGAGCTAAATAAGGCGCGGTGTGTGCCTCTGTCAAGATCTCCTTCTGCAAGGCCTCGGCCTTCGGCACTACGATCCTGCCTCTGAACTCCAAGGCGCCATCTGCACCTCAGGAAAAACCCTCGACTCCTCCGGCGTGAACCTTGGCCTCAATAGCACGAATAAATTGATCAGAAGCCTTCTCTCGCCAGATTCTGTCCCTCAATGTGGGCTGAACCTGCATCGAGCTAACACTCCCCGTAATCACTGCAGGAAGTGACTCGACGACTTGAATCTGCATCCGAGCAAAGTCTCGAATAAGATGACGCTACTGAGTAATAGAACAAGATAATTCTCCCTTTACCTTTCGGCTCAGGGCATCAGCTACCACATTTGCTTTCCCCGGATGATACTGAATCGTGCAGTCATAATCTTTAACAAGCTCCAACCAATGTCGCTGACACATGTTGAGCTCTTTTTGCGTGAAAATATACTGCAGACTCTTGTGATCGGTATAAATCTCGCACCGACCACCATAAAGATAATGCCGCCATATCTTGAGTGCATGTACCACTGCAGCTAAATCCATGTCGTGGGTAGGATAGTTCTGCTCATGGGGCTTCAACTGACGTGAAGCATACGCTACAACCTGGCCGTCCTGCATAAGTACACACCCCAAACCCCGCCTCGAAGCATTACTATAGATGGTGAAACTCCTAGAAGGATCTGGAATAGTCAACACCGGTGCCGTTGTAAGCCTCCTTTTCAGCTACTGAAAACTCGACTCGCAACGGTCTGTCCACTCAAACTTCACAGACTTCCTCGTCAATTGCGACAAAGGGAGGCCAATCTTCGAAAACCCCTCAATAAATCTGCGATAATAACTTGCAAGGCCGAGGAAACTACGAACCTCGGACGGATTCTTCAGTGCTGACCAGTTCTGGACTGCGGCAATTTTGGAAAAATCTACTTCAATACCTGCTTGAGTAATAATGTGGCCAAGAAAAGCCACTCGCTGAAGCCAAAATTCGCATTTAGAGAACTTCGCATATAACTTTTCACGTCTAAGGGTCTC